CACAATATCCATAGTTTTAAATTATTATTGTTATTAAAAAACGATCGTAATCGCTATAGTAAATTAATAATCGTAACAATCGAGGTTGCGAATACATAATAAGTAATTGTTAATAAATTTATTTTAATTTATAATTTATAATAATTTTACTAATTAATCATATTAATAAATAATAGCATCTTTAATTGTTTAATATTATAAAAAACTAGTTGAATTTATTATAAAAAAATAATAACACTTTTAATAGGTTAATATCCTAAAAAATAATAAATTAATTATTTAATCTTTTAATCAATAGGAACCATGTTTAATATAATATTATTTTATTTCACAAAATGTTTTTTTCATCGATCTTTTCATGACATAAATTTGTATTTTTTTAAAATAAATTAGAAAATAACATCAAATGGACAAAAAGATTAAATAATTGGTTTTTGAAACAAGAAGGACCAATTAACTTATTTTTTCAAAATAAAGGAACTAATTTATAATTTACTCAATTGATGCCTCGATTCCTGCCGGCCTTTTTAGTTTGGTGCACGCAAGACCCAACCTGAAATTCAGTTGCATAATAGAGAGTAAATTATACATTAGTCCCTTTAGTTTTGATAAACCTTTTGATCATTGTTGACCGTGTTTAATATAATATAATTTATTTCACATAATGTTTACTTTTTTTTAATCAATTTTCATGATATAAATTTATTTTCTATTTTTTCTATTTTTCAAAAATAAAAAAGAAAATAACATAAAATAGACAAAAATGACTAAAAAATTGGTTTTTGAAACAATAAAAACTAAGTGATTTATTCTCTAAACTAAAAGGTCTAATTTATAATTTACTTAGTTCCTGCATGCCTTTGAATCAACCTGAAATTTGGTTGAATAATAGAGTAAATTACACATTAGTTCCTCTAGTTATGATAAATAAATAAATTAGTTTTATTTATTTAAAAACTAATTATTTAATCTTTTCACGAGAGTTAACTATATTTATCATAATATTATTTTATTCCACAAAATGTTTTCTTCTTCATCAATCTTATTATGACATTTTTTTCTATTTTTTAAAATAAAAAAAACAATAAATTAGAAAATAACATAACATGGAAAAAATGATTAAATAATTGATTTTTAAAACAAGAAAAACTAATCAATTTATTTTTTCAAACTGAAGAGACTAATTTATAATTTATTCAATTAAAGTCTACAATGCTTTATGTTCTGAATATCACGTGGGCAGATTTTCATCCAGTGGACGACTTGCTCTTTTATTCCTCAATTCGCATCCTCCTTTCTTCTTCTCTTTTTTATTCTCTAGGAGGTTTTCTGTAAGTCCTATTTGTTCATTTTCTTATTCTATTTTCACATCTTTTGTGTTCTAATGTTGTATGTTGCTTTTTATTTGTTTCATCTGTTTATCAGTTCTCATGCAAAATTCTCTTCATTCTTTGTTTTTCTTATTTCAGATATAAATCCCAAATGGAGAAAACAGAGCAGTTATACAATTAAATGGAAAAAGTGGTGATTAATTAGATGCAAATTTTCAATTTTTTTTTTTTTATGTATAAGCTATTATATAACCACAAATAATTATTACATAACCATAACATCATTATTTACGGTTATATTTATAAAATGACATTAGAACACTCATAACACCGAATAACGGTAAGAAAGCATCCCATTGCTATTATATAATGATTTGTATGTTACATAATGACTGATATTTTAAACTATGATACTATCCGTTTTGAACCTTAAACAAAATGTACCACAAAATCATGAACTGCAGTAAGCAGGTAGATGCAGAATCATGACATTCGAAAGAAATTTTCCTGTCAATTAGATAATAAAGTGCTGAATCCCAAGATACGAGAAGCTGTAGGCCAAGTCTAGGTAGATGTAGGATCATGACATTTCACCTAAGGTACGAGAAGCTCTGGGCCAGCTCTTGGAGATCTTTCGTTTCCAATCTTCAAATAGAAAGTACCACCCACAAGAGCAAAAATCCTAGATTGCAAGAAAAGATTATAAATGAGAAAGTAATGGGGACATGCAACTAGCACATGTGTAACTAAAGAAAGGAGGCTAGCGATGAGAAAAGTATGGACATCGAGCACAAAAATACAACTTAATGGTTACAAGATAACTAGCAGGAGCTCTACTTGAGGATGGGCTAAGCTAGGCATTTATTTGACTTTCTGTATATGTTTCCTACAAGCTTGAAAATATCAGGATTTTGCCTAAATCCTTTGCATGACTATTTTTTTACATTCAATAATAAGCTATGCAGCAGTGTATAAGATTAGCGGTGATCAACTGAAGAAATGAATAGACTCGGTTGCTTAAAGTATATAATCAAATAACAGGGCCTATGAAATTGTATGCCACCATCCTTAAAACCAGAGTGAAATTTGTTTAATCTGCTAGCAACACATTTACAAGGCAAAAAGAAGTGAGGAAAAACGAAAATTTGTGTAAGCAACAATTCAGGATTCCAGAAGATGGACAAATAAATAATGGACAGACCAATTAGATTTTTTTCTTCCTTTGGCCAATCTGACACTCTCTAGCTAGGTGCCAACCATGATTTGTCTCGAAGTCATAATTGAGGGAACAGGAAAAGGTGCTGTAAAGCACACCATTTTAAAAAAATCCAAAGCATGAGAAGACTTTTTGGGCTGAATTTTTTTTTTTAATCTTTTTTATGATAACTTTTTGTGCTAAAGTTGATCAGCATAAAAAGTAGAGTTTGACAAAAGGCACTATACCTCCAAAACTGAGCTTGGTTTGAATTTTTGACTCCCGTGTCCCGCTCCAGGCATAGCCTAATCAATCAAAGGCATACATCAGCATACAGATTCTCCAGAAAGAGAAAATGAAGAACAGCTCCATCTTGGTTAGACGTCATGGTCAAACAGAAATGGGAATGGTGTGCGCTTTGAACTAACCTTGGCCAAAACAACTGGTGGAGGTGTTCTTCCCATCCCTACAAACGCAAGCAAATGACTGATCAAAACCTGCAAAGCCACACAAGCCCCCACTGGTTTCACAATCCTTGCATAAATTAGAATAGTATGAACCATTATATTGCAGAGAAGTCCCAAATTTCCATTTCATTGGATCCCCCTCACTCCCCCCAAAACTGTATACTGATGTATAAGAGGAGCATTGGAGCTTTGGAAGATCCAACGTGTAGCCTGCTAGTTGAATAGGTGACTCGTAAACACAACAGGTGGAAGGTGGCGCATTCTGTGGCAACCCTATGCCTGTCACTCCCTTACAAGAGTATAGTCCCCTACATACACGGGAGCGTGACCCCATAGCACACATATCTTCAGCTGGATCAAACAAAGGAGAATTGGTTGAGCATCCAAGCAAAACAAATATATTCTCCCCCGTTAAAGAGAATGGACTAGCGCGATCCAGGCTAAAGCTTCCCGAGTTCTGCATTGAACTACAAGTGGACATGAAGGGGTCTGTGATAATTAAGGTGCCAGTTGAGTAATCGATTTCTGAGATACTGTAGATGCCAGTTCCAGTAGAGAACTCTAGCGTGCCAGAGTTGCATCTTACATATCTAGCAAAGTCGGGGTGCCCACATCCAAATCCAGAGCCAAAGGGGTACTTCACTGGTACTTTGCCACAAGTGTCATGACATGTGCCATTTATTGGGATAGGATGCACAGAAGCAGAGATGGTGAAATGCATGGGGAGGGAGAGAAAAATGTAGGCCAAGACCCATGCATTTGAGGTGGATGACATTGGTAAGAGTTTGGGAGAGCTGGATATCAAGTTTAAATAAGGAGGAAACTTCACCAGAGAGAATTATAGTGATATTTGGAAGAAGGGGTTGATTGTTCTTTCGGTGGAGGAGATCTATTTCAAACTTCTCCTCCTTTTGCTTCCAAAAAGAAACCATATCCATGTGGGTTCTAGCTGTAAAGCAACGTCCATTTAGAAGACCCAGCAAACAGTAAAGAAGAGATACAAACTGTTAATGTGAACAGTATAACCAGTAACTTTCAACTAATGCAAGTAAAAGTGTACCACTTTTTTTTAAAAAAAAGAGTGATATTTTATTGCCCATTCAAACAGCAATATCATTTCCAATTTATCTTTAAGCAGAACGAATCACTAGAGTTTCACACTAGAGATAAAGAATTTGTATTTCAATACAAAATGATACATATTAAAGCACAAAGAAAGTTTTATAGCAACTATAACGAAATGTCATCCTAAAAAGCTGACACAGCCCTCTCTGGCCATTAAATTTAACAGCTCAACAGAACTCCTGAATGGATCCAGCTCTCTACAAGTTATTACTTCAGCTGATTCATACAACAATAAAGCATGTAGATCTAGTTGGAAGATACAGCCTGAGTGAAATGCCCTCTCAAGACACATTACGGAAGTTTTCGTGCAATTGAACTCTTCTAACTGAAATGCATTGCAGTGGCCTCATCTCAGGAGACGGTCCTTTTCTGAAATCCTGTATCATGACTAGAAGCCAAAGGGAACTCAGAAGCATTTGGAAACTGGTCCATTTACATCATCCGAATAAAAGAATACAAAATTCATTTCCCTAAAGATGCTTCAAGTCACTTTTACTTGAATTTGATGAAAGTTAAGCAAACAGCAATCCTTGTAGTGCGAGCAGATTTTTTGGCAAGGTGCTTCTGCATTCACCATGCATTTGAACCAGCCGAATTTTCAGAAGCATTCTTATTGCCCACAGTCGCACATCTTGGCAACATTCATGAATTCAAACCAGCCCACATTGAGAGCTTCTCTTATTCCGCAAAGGTCATGCATTCTTTCAACTTTGAACGTTTACAGCATCCACTCTGCTAAAAATCATATGCCCAAAGTATCAATTGACTCTTGTATTCATCGGAACAAGCTTAAAGATTGAAAGTAGGTGCTTCCAATTTGAATTCAATGCTAAAACTGTGAGCAAAAGATCAAGACAACTAACCATGGGACATCCTTGAAACTCATGCATTTAGACCAGCCCAATTCTTAAAAGCAATAAGCGCTTCCATTTTTCGGAAGCTCCTCTTTCTCAACTTTGATACTTTCAGCTTCTTATGACTCTCCATGAATGCTTGCTTGTACCTCCATTTATCCACAAAAATCTTCATCTCCTGAGATTTTTCTACAACTTGCATCACTACATCAAAGAAACCTCCTTTCACCAAAGCAAATAGAAATGCATCAACCAAGCTGTGATCAAATTTAATACCCTTCTCTTTATCAGGTGAGACCTTTCGCTTAACCTCATTCCACAGCATCAAAACACCAAAATATTTCTCTGCACTCACATACCCGTTAATTAGGGACAAATATGTTTGGTCATTTGGTTCAAACTGTAGGAAAGTCATTCTTCTGAAAGTCCTCTTTGCATCCTCCAACCGCCCAGCTTTACAAAAAGCATGAATAATTGAATTCCAGTCATGAGATTTCACTTCAACTCGAGGGTCCTCAACAACTTCATCTAAAAAAGCAGCCATTAGTTCCGGGCGCTGGTTTTCCATTAAACCTGTCATAATCGTCAAATAACTAGCTTTCAAGTCAGGTATTCTTGCCTCTCTCATGTCCCTAAACAAAGTAAAAGCTGACTGGAAATCTTGGCTTGTCATTGATGCTTCTATTAGTGCATTGTAGCTTCCCTCGTCTAACTGAAGCCCTGAGTTGCTAATATCCATGACCAGTTGAGTAGCTTCAGCTGTTCTATACTCTTTGCAATATGCCTTCAAGATAGGCACAAAGACCCCAAGTCCTACAGAACCACCTTGAGCATCCATCTCATCGACTATACTGTGTGCTTTATCTGATAGTCCAAGATTAACACAGGCACTAATAATACCAAACCCAGTTGATTTATCAGCCACAATAGTTTCTGACTCCAACTTCTGAGCTTCTATGATCAAGTTTGCTAAACCCTTAATACTTCCATCTTTCATAAATCCTTTAACCACCTGACAGTAAGTTTCCTCGCTAAAATTCACATCTTCTCCACCTTGTTTCCTCAAACTACATAGAATAGTTTCCGAAACAGCCTCTAAATTCCCAGACTTTACATACCCACCAATCAAATTACCAAAAAACAACCTTTTATTTGAAAAACCAAAGCCACCCATCAAACTCTCTAACTCAATTATCTTATCTTTAAGCCCCTTCAATGCATACAAATAAGCAAGAAACCCAAAACTCAATTCATCAGGCCTAACACCCAACACAGACATAGTTTCAATAACCTTTTCAGCTTCACTAACAGACTCAAGTTCGCAACAACACCATTCTAAAGCCACATTACAAGCAGCCAAATCAGGTTTCATAAAATCCAACTTCTCATCAATAGCAATTCTACAGCTCTCTTCAAAAATTTTCAAAAAGGCAATAACTTTATCATTCTTTCTACTAATTTCAACAAGAAAATCACCCCACAATCCGAAAGGCATAAAAAACCTGTTCTTAAACATACACTTGATTAAAGCAAAAGCAGGAGCAGCAGTATTGGCACGTACCATTGAACCAAGAAACAATTGTACCGTTTCAAAATCTAAACTTTTTGGGTTCTTTGCAATAACATAGACGATAGAAGCAAACGCCCTTTTAAGACTGAGTCTGTCATTGAGAGAGGAAAGGTGTGTGATGAGTGTGTTAGTGAGAGACTTGGATGGGAAAGTTGAGTTTGTGGTTAAAGACTTGAAGGATGTCCATGCCTCGTCAGTGTTGTTGGTGATGAGGGACTTGTGGAGGGCGGATTCTAGATTGGTTAGGTGGTCTTGTGTTAAGGTTTTAGGGGTTTGTGTGCTGTTGTTGATGGTGGGATTTGTTGTCGACGGTAGATTTTTTCTTTTAAGGGCAAAGATAGTGGGCTGCAGGAAAGAGTATAAACTCGGGGTTTCAGGTGTGGAGCAGAAGGACCTGTATGGAAGCAAGAAGAGTGCTCTTCTCCACATTCTTTGATCGCTGTGAGAGATGATGATTCTCTGTTTTGTTGCCGCAGTTTTTGTCGAGCGTCTGTGGCTGGCAATGCTGTTTGGTGTTTGTTTGATAATCATATTGTAGAGCCCGACTGCAGCAGCAGCTGGAATAGCTCAGTTGGCTAGAGCGTGTGGCTGTTAACCACAAGGTCGGAGGTTCGAGCCCTCCTTCTAGCGCATTTGCTTTTTCTTAAATTTTTTTTTCTGACAAAAAACGACGCCATTTTCATTGAAAACGACTAAACGAGAGCATCCACTACGTCGCTTGCATTGACAGCAGAGCCAAGCCGGCAGCCAAAAAGTCAGACAACAAGAAGCAGCACGGAAGAGTTGAGAAGAGTGTCTATCCACTTCAGAGTCAAGCCTGTGGATCGTTAATGGAAGAATTAGTAGCAGCAAACAAGGAGAGTGGATCATCATCAAAACTTATAATCGAAGAATGGAATGGATCTTCTTCAACAAAGCTCGTCAAAACTGCTACTATAACTGCTTTCCCTTCTCTCTCTATCCAAAGGTCGCCTTCGTTCTTTTATTTACCCTTCACTCCTCATTTGCAGAAGTCTTTGTGATTTTGAATTGAATCCTACATAATACGCAGGTCTGGTAGTCGTTTTATCCACGTTTGGAGACGAGTCCTTCAAGCATTTGTACCCGAGGCAAGCCCTTTCCCTTTTCTTTTCTTTTATTTCTTTTTTTTTTTTTTTTTACAATCAATTAATTAATTTCCATTGGATTGTGGAAATGCAGGGATTTCCAAGCAGTGTAACACCAGATTATGTTCCTTTTCAAGTATGGGATTCATTGCAGGTATTATTTTTAAGTCATGAATTTTATCAACAAAATAAAAGAATAAAAAACTTCCGTAAGTAATCAATCATAGCTGATGATTTGATGGCTTGATTTTGTTCTAAAGGGTGTTTCAACTTACATAAGGACCATGCTTTCAACACAAGTGAGCTCAATTTGAAGTTCTCTAAATCTGATCACACTAGTATATGATTATTTTTTTCAAATATAATTTTGTTTGCTCAAATTGTGTTGAAGGCTCTCTTGAGTGCAATTGGGGTTGGTGAGAAATCAGCTACCGTTATTGGTGCCACATTTCAGGTCCTATAATAATTTTATTTATTTTTGGCTTTCTACACATGATATGAATCGAAGTTTTTGAGATTTGGGAGGGACTTTTTTTTCAAGTTTATAAATAATTTTGACAACTGGATTTTTGGTTCCAGTGGTTTTTGAGGGACTTAACTGGAATGCTTGGAGGCATACTCTTTACATTTTACCAGGTATACTGTTGCATACTTTTGCGATTGCAACCTCTCCTTGCTTTTCTTTTTTTGGGGTCTCTGGGGTATATCGTCACTGGTGATAAGAATGTTTTTGGTAGAGAGTTGGGTGGTTGGTGCAAACTCTTTCTCTTTTTGTTCATTTCAAGATTGCATGAAACAAGGGAATTTTGGGCTTCTCAGGGCTCAGAACTGGATAGCAATGCCAAGATGTGGCGTTTGGTTGCTGACTTTATGAATGATCTTGGTATGCCCTTATCTTGCTGTATCTCTATTCTCTCCTTCTCTGGAAGTTGTACAGATGCACACACAAACTTTGGGTCCATATTGGCATTGACTGTCTATTTGGAGTCTTTCTCCATGATTTTTTAAATTTATTTTTCCCTATGCCCAAAATTTATGAGAAAGTTTGTCAATTTGGCTGCAGGAATGTTGATGGACCTTGTTTCCCCTTTGTTTCCTTCCGCTTTTGTTTTTGTTGTTTGCTTAGGAAGCTTATCAAGATCATTCAGTAAGTATCCTCATAGCGTAAATGCTTGGCATGGGGAACTATAGAAATCGTCTGAAAACTTTCTATTAGAATTTTTGTTGGAACCATTTAGTTTGTTGGTCACTGTAATAATGTAGAGGAAAAAAGGCCTGATCTGACTGTATCTTGCTAATGAAATGGTTGATCAACTATCACAAGGGCATTTATCATCTAAAAATATACAAAAGAACTATGTAGCTAACAGTAGAATTTAATTGGTTCACTACAGTATCTCAGCCGTGCCTGCACTGTAGAATATAAAGAATTGGAATAACTACATAATGCTTATTGATCATTAGCTGATTTATTTCCTTTTGCATTGTTTTTATTATTAGCTGGTGTTGCTAGTGGTGCAACTAGAGCTGCTTTGACTCAGCATTTTGCCCTTCAGAACAATGCGGCAGATATATCTGCCAAGGTACCAATACAGCCATTCTGACCCTTGGATAACAACCTTAAGAGATTCTTTGGTTGCCACTATGAGGGCTATTGACTTGCTTCTATATATTGATAGGAAGGAAGTCAAGAAACAGTCGCAACAATGATTGGCATGGCCTTAGGGATGCTCCTCGCTCGAATAACAATGGGACACCCCCTAGCCATTTGGTTTTCTTTCCTTTCTCTCACTGTGTTCCATATGTATGGTAAGCTCTTGTGCTATGGTTTCTGATATGGAGCATTATTCTGACCAAGGACGTACCCTCACCTTCCAGGAACAATTAGGAAAATTTTATGTGTGGATTCATGACGTGTAAAATTATATATGAGTATGACTTTAATCTTATCATTTTTCATGTCATTATGGCCAAAGAACTAGATCATGATACCCTCTGTAAAAATAAAAAATAAAAAAAGGTGGGCACCTGATGGGAAGAGTGGTAAGTACACTTTTTCTGTTGTCTAGAACTTTTTGCTTAGTCCTGCAATAGATAGACAGTAACACTTTCCCTTTTGCAGTTACAAACCAAAACTTATAGTTTCTCTACCTTCTTGTTTGTTTAACTATGAGATATAATTGTAAAATTGTTGTGTTCATCGCATGTTGCATCTGGCTGTATGTATATAATTAATGTGTTCCTTTAAACATGCAGCAAACTACAGGGCTGTTGGGTGTCTTGCTTTGACTTCTTTAAATATTGAGAGGAGCGCAATTCTTTTCCAGCATTTCATGGAGACTGGCCAAGGTAATGATTTTGGGCAATAATGGCTAAACACCCAAAATTGTTTTGGCATGATCATCAAATTGATTGTTACATTGATTCTGATTTAATACTTTTTTTTTTTTTATAAAATGAAAAGTCACACTGATACATGAGCTTACTTACCTGATCTCACCTGTTAGCAAGTTGGAGGTGAATTTGTTTGCCTATCTATTTATCGTGATTTTGATGCCATTATCTGAATTTGTTGCCAGTTCTCTCTCCTGAACAGGTCTCTAGAATGGAACATGTTTTACCAATATGGATCACTTCTTGCGGTTCAAAGAAGGTCAAGTTACTGCATACCCATGTGTGCTTGGGTGTGAGAGTTTCTTCGCTTGATCAGCAGGAAATGTGAGTTTTCAGTTAATTAGCTCATAAATTGTTGCAAGAAATTTTTTCCTACTTTATTATTATTCTTTTTCGTTTGAGATATTTAATCAGAGCAATTAGGTGGACTTAACCTTGTATGGTAAAACAGTAGTTTTGTTCAGGCAGTGCTTCTACAATGGTTACAAGAAGCACCTGAATAATCGAACTACTAATTAGCGTGTTTCAAAGGCATTTCAAGACAAGTTCATGCCTCCACTCTTGATATGTCTGCACTCGTAATTGATCTGAGCTGGCTCCTACAAAACCAGTGCTCCAAACAAATTTCATTCTGTGTACAAAACTAACCATTTAAGGAATATTCTCAAACAGGATGGAGGTGTTGCGGTCTGCAGGATCTCACTATCATAAAGGTTGAGATCTAGTTTCCGCCTTCCAGTTTTCAGTTTTTAAATTCATCAATTTTTTATTTTTTGGAAAAAAAAAATTGACTTTAATGGGAACCTATAGCTCATTTTACTTGTCCATACTGGTCTTTTTAGCAAAATACTTGCTGGTGGAGAGGAAGGGAATCATCAATATTATAATGCACAAAACTTCAGAAGCTTCAGATGTCTTGCAATCGTTTATTCATGCTCTTGTTATGGCTAAGCTCATTGAAAAAAATACATCTTTCTACTTGGAGAGCCAATCATGGATGGATAAACAGTACGAAGCTTTTCTTCAAAAGGTATCTCTCTAAATTGTTTCTTAACTTCAATAGTTTTTTCGTTTACTTGACCCTATGACCATATTCCAAATGCAATAGTTTGGAGAGCCCATAATGGATTCACTTTCTATTTCCGTTCTTCATCAAGGAACTTAGAGGCACATTTTAGCTCTTGTCGATTTCTAATCTTTATCTGGCCACTACACTGAACAGAACGTCAACCTATAATTAAAAAGGTAAATATACCCATCTGTTCTTATATGATACTCAAAATGTCTTATCTGTTTCTAAGTTTTCAATTGCATCTCATCTATCCTTGAAAATTTTTGAAATATTCGATTTGTCCTTTCGATCAATTTTTCCGATCATGGATAAATTTTTTGACCAAAATGCCATTTACTAAAATACGAAAAAAAAAACACTTAATGTCACATGGCCTGCATATTTCATTTTTAAAGTCTTTAGATTTTTTTTTTTAATCAGGAGCATTTTGGTCCAAAAAAAAATTCTATGATCAGAAAAATTGATTGCAAGAAAAGTTTGAAACTTAAAAATTTTCTGGAATAGATGGAATGTAATTGAAAACTTAGGGACAAATGAGTATATTTACCCTAATTAAAAGAAATAGTGTGAATTTCATTCTCTGTATCACAAGGCCTTGTGCCATAATTGGTCACTAAGCAAACCAGGAAATTTTACATGTGACTGCAAATTAATCTTGCTTCTTTTGTTTAATTGTTTAAATATACGTTTGAATACACATGAAATTCCCTGATTTTACTACATTAGCTAAACAAATAATGTCCACGATTATGTTTGAACAACGTGAATAAAATATCCAGAAATGTGAATCCACGATGGGCTCTCCAAACTACTGCATTCAGTATGAGTGCAGCAAAAGTGAAGTTCCCTTTATTGCTGTTTTTCATCGAGGAACTTAGAAGCATAGCCCTGCTATTCTTTTCCGAGCTAGCGTTACTATTTATAACTTAATTAACAAATTTTGATTCTTTTTTATTTCTATTCTTTATCTGGCAGCTAAGTTCATTGGGTTGGAAAACAGGGCGCCTTCTTTCCCCTTCAATCATCTGGAAGGCAGACTGGACAAATGTTTCTTCAGATGATAAAATCGACTAGGTAATACTTGAAGTTCTGTTGCATAAAAAAACTGTTGAGAGTTATTGAAATTGACGACTACTTCCTTGTCATTCAAAGCAAACTGATTTAAAAATGTGGGCATCAACTGAGGCTGATTTCGCTGTGAACACTGAAGAATGAGAATTGATAGATGGTATTCATCCCTGGTGATAAGACGATGGTAATTCTTTATCTTAAAGCAGCATCGGGATAGAGGCTCTTGGTAGTATTGGAAATATTAATTTTTGGTGTTTCCACAATCATGTATACTCGAAAAAGTTGGATGTGATTGGATTATGGTCCGATGAAGTTTTATTTAGGAACTTAGTAGTAGCTCAACATTGACGATCTGGGAGGGTGGAATTTGCTGTAACCAAATGAGTTTGCTACACCAGCTTCTTCTTCTTCTCCTTTCTTTTTTTTTTTTTGGCCCTCTCTTAATTCAGCTGTGAAGTGCATGACATATTAAACAATGACAGACCAAAGGGAACATACTTGAGGGCAGCACTCCTGCAGCTGCATATTTGGCCGGAGGCTTTAATAGAGAATCGGTTCTTGCCTACATAGTCATGTGGTTTGAGTTTTCTTACGCGGCTGAGAGGCTTTGAGTGTTTGCATCAAGAGGATGTATCCTTTGCATTAAAACAGCCTCTTGAAATTGTTCTTGACAAGCCGTTTCGCATGGAAGCAAACTTGTGGGGCCCAACATGATGCGTCGTTCAAGTGTTTGAGAGAAACTAACATAAAAACACGTGAAGTGAAAATAACGCCATTGCATTACCGTCGCTGATGCTTATGTAAGCAAAAATATGTTTTCCCACAGAAATGAAAAAGCAGTAAGACATGATCAAGTATGAGCTTGAACCATGACCTCAACATTCTTGGCTTTAAAATTACATCTGCAGCTCCCTAGTGTGTGAAACAAAATCAAAATTAAACTGTTTACCTTCTCTCTTTCTCTCTCTAAAAAAAGCTATTTACATATCAGTCGGTTTAATCTAGCCTAATTTACTCTCAAACCATTAGAGTTGTAGCAAAATAGAATTTATATTATCAATTTGGCTATTTAAACTGTAAATTATTAATTTTTGAACAAAAATTATTATTTTTTAGTATGTTTAAAAATTAAAATATTGATCGTTAATTGAAATGTTTAAAACAACATAGTTTTATTGATAAATCTATCAAGTAAAAAACTAAATTATTAATTTTTTTATCGCTATTAATTTTAATTCTCATAAATTTAATAATGAAATATCTAAAATGACAAGATGATGTGTAATGGATCCATCTAAAAAAACTGAGTTATTAAATATATATATTTTTTTCAAAATTAATTTTAATTCTCAAAAAAAAATTATCTAAAAATTAATAGTTTGAAAATCAAATAACCCAAATTAATAATGTAGGCTTTTATTTCGCCCCAACCTCAATAGTTTAGGAGTAAATTATGCCATTGAACCCATAACAATCTATCAAGTCTCAGAATTTGAATCAAAATTACAGGGATTGATAGCCAGCTGCTGCCGTGGTAAATACCAGCCAGATAAGTTTCCGCCCTTGAAATTCTCTCTTGCACAGGGGAACGAGGTACCTACTCCGTGGCTCAATTTTCATCAGTGTTGCCTAGATATTCAATTTCATCATAGCAACTATACTGCTGAAATATGAACCATGCTCGCAGAACCTTGAGATTGATTTGGTATCATTTTCCTTTTGAATGGCGAAAAATTCCCCACATGAAGAAGCTGTTCTTTAGTTCTGTAACAACATAATACATAAACAAATTCAGTAAATCATCGCCGCTGGATTCTCTTTGGAAGCACTTGTCATAAAGGTACATAAGATGAAAGTGATGCAGAAACGCCTAAATTTTGTTTGGTTTTTTTTTTTTAATCGTCTCCTAGAACAAAATAAGCCAGAGAGACAGGTTGTAAAAATGCTCGTGATAAATTCAGCACAGCCTAAATTTTGTAGTTGGCAACATCTAATACAGTGGAGATAAAAGTGGGTTGTTAGCAGTATCCAATAGATTTGAGAGAAAAGTGGGGTTCGCTACTCACTCTGGGACTCCAAAGGCAAAAGTTTTGATGCAAAAACAAACAGCTCTACAGATCCCATCTGACTCCTCATCACCAGATTGTTCTTCTCAATGTACTTCAAAAGAGTAGAGTACTTTTTCATGGACCTAAAACCCAAAGAATCCTCTCAAGATCAATTAAGATGAACTTTAAACTAAAATTTCAAATGAAGCTGAAAAGGAACCTAACCTTTCAAACTTTCCAGGGTAGAAATATAAAGCTATATTGTTGACATCCGGTGAGATGGCTTGGAATATCTCTGGTCCAAAATTGGAACAAGGATGCAGTTTAAATTGCATAACTCCGGCTATCTGTCTCGAAAATTCATAGGCTTTACGAGAAACAATTGCTGGGGAATGTGCCACAAATCCTTCACAGAGTTTCATGTCAGAGTCTACCTTATCCATATCTAGCACCTCGAAGCTTCCCCTAGAGAAAGAAATTGCCAGGAAAAAAAAAAACAGAAAATATGTACAAATATGAATGTTTGCTTATTTCCTTAAAAGAAGCGATTGCCTCATCAACCACAAAATCAAACAACATTATATGCTTGTGGTGCACTTTACTACTCAAGCCAGGCCCCGGACCTTCTCTCAAAGTGAAGTGGTAATTATATTTCATCCCATAAAAGCACAACATCCACCAGATAAACTCACCCTCAGGAAAAAAAAAAGGTTTTCCATAAGAAAGTGATCAAGATAGACCATCCAGTGGCCTTGAATGGCAGAACTTTAAAAAAAAAAAAAAAAAAAAAAAAACCAGTTCATGTTCTCAAGCATTACCAACCCTTCAAACATTTTCATGAACTGCATTAAAGGAGGCATAAAATTCATAGAAAAAATAAGGATCCCCTAGCAACTAGTTTATTGAACTGTAATTAATACTGTGATGTATACTTGTTATTTCCATAAAGTGGAACATTAAAGTCACAACATCTTCTCTGCTTAAATTTCTGCATTATAGTTTTCTACAGCCCCGTTCATCCCATAAAAATGTCATTCAATCTCTAAATATGTTTCTTTGAGCGGATACATATGTATATATTTAGCATTCACCAAATATTGCATGACATGATGCAAATGTTATTAGAAGATGAGTTTGCTATGGCATGTGGATAAATTACTTACCTCCATGGAGCTTCCAAGGCAGGAACATTTGAAAGGTTCTTGTGAAAGTTAGGCTTGATGGTTGGTGCACCTTCTGGATGAATGGGAGGAGCACCTGCACAAAATTATGACCATATGAACAGGCACTCTATGAAAGCACAGAAGTCAGATGATCTAAGCTAAGCATGGTAAGTATGGAACGACATATTCATATTTAAGTAAAGTAAAAAAAAAAAAAAAAAGCAAAAAGCAAAATATCAAGAGAACTGGGAGACCAGGTGAAAGGATGCCATTGAGTCTCCAGGGCATGTACACTTGAATTCAGCAAATCAGAAGGGGAGATTCATCCCCAGATGCTAGATGCTGGAGAAATTACAGGCTTTTTTAGTCTAAATGTTGACAACGACTTCTTCAGATCACATACAAAAACAAAAAATATAAGCCAAGCTATTTTTTGCATAACACACAGGACTTTTGCTTTCTAGAAGGCAGGCCATGCATTTGCTTCCACGACCAGAGTCCTCAACAAAGCAGTTAACGGAAGACTGGAAGACATGTTTTCTACTCTGAAGAGTGTGATTTCCTTGCCTTTAAGTTGAGGCTTTATTGGTGGCAGAGAAGCAGAATTGTGGTCCAGATGCCTTTTCCGACCATTTGAAACTTCGGACTCCACAGCAGACACAAAGGCATAAGAAGTATCACCTTTATGACCTAATTCTGTCCTGGGAGCTGAACTGAATTCCGCTCCTAAAGAAATGCTCATGTGAGTAACTAGTTTCAATTATGTGAAAGCTGTTATTCACAGTAATTAAGGGCAAGCAGAACGAATATAAACACATGAACAAATGCAAGCATACACATATAGACATTCAATCAAACAATGACTTCACCGTTTTCCATGCCCAATCCCAACTCCAGTCCCTGTTTAGCCATACTATCACCAGCACCATTTGGTTCCCCATCATTTAAGGAAGAGTTGCATGTACTCAGTGTTGTGGTTCTTGTGCCAGACTTTAGTTTGGCAGCTTCTTCAACTGGAAGATATCTTACTTTTGCAGTTTCTGCAAATCTTCTCTTTTTACAAGGACCTTGTGTTTCTTTATATCCAGGGAACATGCTTGACTGTGCAGAATGCAGAGCATTACAAGCTATGTTATCCCAATTGACTATTGCAGATGAGTTAGACATGGCTCTTAGACAGTTGATTCCAGTTATGCAAAATCTTTCATCCAATGTTCCACAGGCTATTTCTTGTTCTCCCCTTTTACAATCTGTGATATCTACACCAACAGGAAAATCATATAAGCTAGCAGAAAAGAGAAAAAAGAAGAAGAAGAAAAGTTGCAATGAAGAAATACAGCAGGACATGTTCCACATAGAAAGCAAGCTGCAATAGACTTGGCAAAGCTGATATCACCATGCTTATGGACAAGATTTGCCTCAAAAAGCGAAGAGGAAATCCATAAGTATGCTACTTATATCATTATCTTCGTTTATAGGCATATAAGGAAAACGAGAAATTACTCTATATGGTGTTACTAAATTATAAAACATCTTAAGTTTTAAAATGCATGAAATATCCAGATAGGAAAATCATTGATGATACAAAACTTCCCAAAGAATAAACATCAAAAATAAACAACCAGGGAAGGTAATATATCGAACATGTAGATATTCAAAGCCTCAAATATATGATATTTATTGTCCAATACAATGGTAAAATCAAGAATAAATTCTCGCTCCACACTCAAGTATGCATTAAACTCCAATAAAGTGTAAGTATTCGTTTGTGTACCACTTCAGTTTCAACCAAACAAAGTTAAGATTCTCTCATGGCAGGAGAGAAGAGAAAAATGAAAAGAAAGCAAACAATTTGATTATCATCATAACGGTAACAATAAAAATATGTTTATGAAAAATTAAAAAGTGGAATTTGGAAATTTACATAATCCTGAAACCATGACACTAAAAGCATGCTTATAGATCTATATTATTCGAGATTTGATATGCAGAACGATTCAGTAAGCCAATATTTTAACAGCAATGCATGGGATAACGGAGTCACTGAAACCATGAAATGTAAACATGGCTGTAAAATTCTTTGTACATAAGCGTGCATACCAGGGGATCTATTCTTCTCTTCTCAGACTGTGAAATGAAAACTCAAAGAGCCTGACAGCCTGTGACATATGATAAAGATATGTAGCAGTGGCTTGCCTAAGGGTAATACGTGTGATATACAAGGAACCGGAAAGAATGCATACTGAATATATGATAACTGCTTACATATTTGGAAAATCTCACTCATCTTTAGCATAAATTTGTACATTATTATCATTTCTTTCCTGTAAAATTGGACAGCACGGGACACAACTTATCTAACCATATATTGCAGATAAAACTATTACCAATAAGGATAAGATTTGCATAGTCTCTCAACTATCTCACTCATTTCTGCAAATTAGTTCAGTAAAAAAATCACAACAGTTCAAATATAGATGCATAAACTAAACACCGGTACAAGAAAGAAATGGTGGCCCGACAAGTTCATAAACTTATTGACATTTTTTTTAATTGTCCTTTTTGGTACCAGAAGCTTGAAGAATAAAAATTAAGAACGCAAGTTGAGTGAGGGAGTTAATTTAAGAGTCCAAGTTTCAACCCTTCATTGCTAATATGACAAACATGCCAATGAGACTATTGCTGACAGAAAGCATATAGTATCATGTTTTTCTTGTTGTAACTACTCTTTCTTATGATCTTATTATAAGTAATACAATTTGCTATTAAATTAAAAACATCATATATACAATTTTGCAGTGCCTACTCCAAGATGGAATGAGATTCTCGATAAATGAATAAGAAAAGTAAAGTGGTTCAGAATAGAACAGGCTTCAGGGACTTAGCCGCTGATGATGGATCAACGGCAGACACTCCCTCGATGTGGAATGGTTCCTTAAAGTCTGCATCGGCAAAGATGCACAACTTAGAAAACAATCATTAATGTCCCAGCTAAGGGCTTTTCTTTCACACAGCAGATTGGAGGGAATAAGGTTTTAGGAAGTGCAATATTATCCATGACCGTGAAAGGAATATCAAGAGGGGATAATGAGCTTTTAACATCATCCAGAATATCAAGAAATGATTTTCCATTCTGCCTGCAAGCAAACATCCAACAGCTTAATTACACTAAACTTGGGTTTTCCAAATGCAGGTTCACCAAAAATCAGCTAAGAAACAATTTTATTTTTTTTGGGGGGGGGGAAAAAGCACACACGTAAAGAGAGAATGCAAAGCTTTACCTGCAGGTGCAAGGGATTAAGTTCTATTCTTCATTGTTTTGAATGTATGCCAAAACCCACAACGGTTTTGAGAACCCTGCATCTAGGAATAAACTGCTTGCATCTCATTCACACTTTCAATCTGTTGTCTGAAGATAAAGGATAGTTCAATTCAGTGGATAACTATGTCCAATAATCGTTTGTAGTGCACAAAAAAGAACAAAGTCCAGCACTTCAACATAAACTATAATGCTCTAATGATCCTGCATATGTCCACTGATACAGATAGAAGTTTAGTGTAGATAGATGGCTCCTTCGTCCTGCAAGTCATCGATTGCTTCTTCTGCTATGCGATAGTTTGACACATTCGATCAGTGGCCAAGAATGGAACAGTGTGTATTAAATCTCATCTAGCTTTACTTATTCTAATATCAAGCAATCACCATACAGAATTTGTACAACAGAGATGTTAAGACAATATCTGAATTGGCTGTGCTAGTGATATTATTAGCATAGCAGAGTCCCTACAAAGAAGGAAATCTACCCAGGACAGGTGATTGAAAATCACAAAAATATCCATAGAAAATAGAAACAACCATATGAACAAGCCCAAAAATGCATCACATCCTACGCAGCCTCGAGATACTAAGTTTTGCAAAGTGGGCCAAAGTCACCCAGGCGTTAATCATTAACCATTCCACACCATCCAAGTGAAATTATGCTTGATAGATGGATTCTGTATTGTTCCAGCAATTCCACTGTAGCAGCAGCACACTTGTGAAATGCTCTTAAGACTCCACCATGAGTAATTACCACAACTCCTCCCTCTGAAACAGATTTACAGAATTGAAAAACAAAGGATTAAGTAAAATATACAGCGATTGAGGATCAAAGGAAATTACAGTATTCAAATAACTTCTAGAGGGAAAAAAAGTCACCACGTTTGGATTGTACTTATCTATTAACCCACACTGACGCATGCTTGGATAATACATGTATTAAACATGCATGCAAAACTGCCTTTGTTATAAACATGAATGCAGCAAATCTGAACAGGTTCAAACAGGTTAGACGTGCACAAATTATATGTTCTCAATGCAAACTTTCAACTGGAAGACAATACCAATAATAACAAAGACCGCTTTGAAAACCATCATCTCAGAATTGAGTCAGTAGACCAAAGTTTGCAAGGCTGGTGGACAACTATTTAAAATATGATGTGAACAAACTTTTCTCTATCAGCCTTGTAAACGGAAAATTTAAATTTTGATTATCCAAAGATAACCTAAAAGTCATCAAGAAAAGGTAACCATAAAAGTCTTCACACTAGTAATGATGATAGAATTGTACAACTTAGTTCCCAGGAGCTTTATGGTGCAATGTAAGAGCAAGCCAATGCCATCAAGCCCTGCATAGAACAATACCAGAAAATACAGCCAAAGAGGACTGGAAGAAAAATGATAGACAATAAAAGATTCTTCTATAGGCCTAGGCACACCAAACAGATTATGAACATTTTTTAATTTCAGGCAAAAAAGTGCAAATGAATGAAAAAACTTATTGCTAGTAGACACAATTAAAGCACGTGGAGACCTAACTAAACCCAATACTCATTTCAAAATTCCTCAGCATTTATGGAAAATATCTTCAAAGAATTACTGTAGTTGTACAACAAGAGACTTCATGGCTTTGAATTAAACACTTACACGTTCTGAGCTGATAAACTTTGAGACAGACATCATGCTAGCAGTCAAAGTTCAAGTCTTGTAACTGAAAATTACTGTAGTGCAACCTAAAGTCTCCACTTATAGTAAAGATCCACGGAGAGCGACACATCTAGAATAAGGGGGAAAAACATGCTGCAGCAAAATGAAATTTAAGTTTTGAATTTGATAACAAGCATACTGATAAAAATATGATGAGGTATATGGCCTTGCAAAATGACAGTTCAAAAGAATACAAAGACGTAACATTCATTTCAAGATTTCATTATCTAATTATGGCTTCATCATGTATCTGAATGAAGCATAACTGCCGAACTTTTCTGGATGAGCGATTACCATTCTTAGGAACAAGTTAGGTTTTCTGGCTTCATTGATGTTCTATACTCCAGGAGTTCTTAAGGTTCCTCGATAGTGAATATGCAGGGGGATTGAAGTGCTCATTTATTTTATTCTTTTTTGTACTTTAGCATTGATTTTTCTATCTCAATAATAATTCTTTCCTAGAAAGCATAACCCTACAATTTGTCATTAGATTTTAAAGAGCTTGTGTTGTCACCTTATAACATTTCAGGCTAGCAAGCATTGAAGAAATATAGACTGGCAAAGAAAATAGCCCAAAGTAGTCCACGTATTTGAGTGTATCGAGGAAAAGTAGTTATATTGAATTAAAAGACAAAGAACTCATGTAGTAACAATATGTTACAGCTAGAAACACTCCAGGGAATGCCACAACTGCAAGAGAACCGGCAGTATAGGCAGGCAAAGAAAGTAGTTCAAATAAAATATTGGTAGTGTAGTGCTAGTAGTTGACGAAACAGAAAAGTAGTCCAGTGTAGACCACTAAATCAGTAATTCGGCACAATCTGAAAAAGGACAGAATATGAAATTAGGAGAAGTCCTGTAATTAGGTACGATTTACTTAGCTTTTGCTTTTTACGCAACAGGAATTATCGAACTGATATCCAAAAAAATACTGCTCCGAGAGAAAAGGAAGATAAGCCACCATGTGTCATCCAAACGAAATAAACCAGGCAATGATGGCAATAAGACAGTGTAAAACAGCATGAAGAAGGGACAACAAAATATTTCGAGGAGAAATCTTCCTTGTAGAGATGAAAAATTAGGAGGCTCAGATTCATCTTTTAGTCAGACAAATGAAGGAACATAAGAACCATGGCTGCAGTAGGAGGCATTCGATACAAAACAGGTATTTGTTGACCGTATTTAGGAAAGTCTAAAAAGTAGAGGAACCAAATGTAAAATTAACTCATTTTTGCACAGAATATCTAAAATTCCTTGCCAAATAATCAATGAATTTATTCCTCATAATAAAATGTTTGAATTTTTCAACCGGAAATATCGCCACAGCCTCATCGAATTCATTAGGCCCTTGTATAGGCAAACAGAGAAGAAGTTGATGAGGAAGCAATAACAGCAACAGAAACCCTAACCCTAGGGTGAATGAATTCCACGATAAAAATGTAAGTCATCTCAGCAGGAAAGCGTCATCGGCATACCTGAGAACAGCGGACATATTTTGTTGCGACGCCGATAACAATCGGACAGTGAATCGGTGTTCGTTGAAATTGAAGCCGAAAGAAAACTTTCATTAAATCTAAAGGGCCAAGGCCCAAAATGCAAAAGCTTGGGTTGTTGAAAACCCATGCCGTGGATGGATTCTCTAAAAGATCCAACCGAAAACAATAGATATTGAATGTGAGAGAGAGAGATTAAATACCTCGCTAGCTGGGCCACTTGGCGTTTAGAACTTCAAAAAAGGCAAGGCTTGAGCATGAACCGATTATAAGCGTCAAACCTAAGCCGAGTCGGTCACCGTGCAAATTCCATGGGCCCAAATTTAAATTAATTCAGCCAAATTTATGCGTTTTTTTTTCCGAGAATTAGTCTATACGTATTTTATTGCTTGACCAGGGATGGCAATTTATCCCGTAACAATGGAGCTCCGCCCTTTCCCACTTCGATCAATTTTTCGAATCGATTGAGGAACGAAATGGGACGAAAATGGTATTTGCTCACTTCTTCTTGTCCCGCTTGATCCTTTTCTTTAGCGATTACAATTACTCACTCTCTCTCTCTCTCTCTCTCTCTCTCTCTCTCTCTCTCTCTCTCTCTCTATATATATATATATATATATATATATATTTTTGAGATTATAATTTAATCTCTAATATAATAAGTGAGTTTTAATGATTTATAATCAGTAAAAACATATAAAGATTTGTATTTTTAATTATATTTATGATATTTTATCAACTTAATTAAATATATTATTTATTCGATTGAAAATAATTTAATATATTATGAGTTGTGTTGTAAATTTATAATTGAATATAATCTTAAATGATTATCTTTCTTAATTATATTTTTTATATGAATTATTATCCTTTTGTTATAATTTAAAATTTAATAAAAGATGATATAAGGTAAAATACAACAAGACACAGACACAAAGAATTAAACGAAACCAGACGCAAAAAATTAAACGAGACCACTGATGCCCCCACCGGGATCCCCATCCTCATTGACGAGGGGATGGTAAGAAAAATATTACCTCACTTGGGACACGGGATAAGCACGGGGCGAAGCTTTTCAAGACCTGAGCTCCTACCCCTTTGCCATTCCTGTGCTTGACCTTCGTCTCAATCTGGGGCCTGGGCTGAGACTTAGGCCTTATAACCGGTTGTTTGTATTTTTTTACCCGACCTTCGTATTGATCTGGCCCGATCATTCGAACACATTAAAAAGTAAATTTTGATTTAAAGGTCAAATGTAAATGAAAAGACTATTATAGAATCAGGGAGAAAATTAATCAATTTTTCTTTCTTAGGATTCTTCAATTGGCCTTCATAGTTAAAGAATAATAGAGTATTATCATGATATCTGAGCAAATACTGTATGGTAGCACGGCGTCTTTCTTACAGCCAAGCACTCTTGAAGCGATTAATTTAGAGATCTAAGTCCCTCGGCCAATCCCTAAAAAGTTTTCCATTTTTTTTTTCAATGCGCAACAGTAGCGAACAAGTAGACCATAAAAATGATATGGCGAGAGTAATAATAGGCGAGAACCGAATAGTTCGATCCGAATTATCACAGTTTCTCCATGGCAGACTCTGAAACACTTAAATACCCAGTCAGAATATATTGAAACCCTAGCCACTGAAAGACAAGGAAGAAAAACAGAAAAAGAGAGAGAGAAAGCAGAGTGAGCATTAACTTTGGGTGGATTGATATGACTCATTTCCTGTACATTTATAACGTTAGACAAGGCCCGCGTAAATGCTACGCCCTTTGACGGCGGGGTTTTTACGCAAATTCAAAAATTGGGCTAGGAGGGCCTAAATTTTCCCAATAAAGTAGACTGTTGTAAATTATTTAACGCTGGGCCCTCGTTTCTGGAGCCTTACAGTCTCCCCACCGAAAAACATGGCCCACTCATCTTCCTCCAAACAAATAGCCTTAAGGAGTAAACCATGGTACAACACAGGTTAGAGACTGGGTTAGCGTTCTTTGCCAAACCGGGAGCAAGAAAATGTTGCAAAACAAGAAATAAAAACATCCAAGATGCAGATATGGCATTTGTTGGCTAGTAACATTCAGAGCTAAGAATTTTGCAAAGACGAAAATGGGAATGTCATTGCCAAAAACGATTCACTGTTTCCTTTTATAATTTATAAGTTATTGTATTCAATTAAGAGTTGGGTGCCTTGGGATACTGGTTATGAATTAATTGAAATTTGTAATTAATCTCCACTTTTTTTTTTTTTTTCAGGGTAGAATTAACTGGAAGATTTCAAAACGTTTCCATATGAAATAGGGATCATTGTATACTTGATTGGGTGTTGCTAAATTTACCATCAAATTTGCTATTTCCACCGCTTGTTTTATGAAAATTAATAATACATATTCTTTGTTACTATAACGTAGTTAAATATGTTTTATATCAAATACTTAAAATATCCACAAAAAAAAAATTAAATATGCATGAAAACAAAAACAAGGAGATTGAAAAGCAAAAATGTTGCGAGACATTTTATATATTTGATACGAACTATATTTAACTATGATATAATATTGATGCAAAGGTATGTTGGTAATTAAAAAAAAAAACAGTAGGAATAACAAATTTAATAGTGGTTTTAGCATTATCTTATTTGATTATTATAAAAAAATCACTAAAGTAACCCTCTTACACTCAATTAGAATTTATAAGTATATACTGATTTTTTAAAAACTATCATCTAATTTTGTAAGTATAATCTCACCTAACAGTAACAAAATTGTTGGGTTTTTTTTTTTTTCCCAGCAAGACAGAGGATGTTCTTGTTTTGATGGGATTTAGGAGTAAGAAAAGGAGGGTTTTTTTTTTTTTAAAAAAAAATGAAAGGTAGGTAGATTATCTCATACTCTTAGGTAGAAAACATTACACCTACGTCACAATACCTTTTTATCCAAAAAAACTCAATTGCGCTTATGTCGAGGGCTGAAACTTAAATTTTTTTTCGAAAATAGCTACACTTATACATGAAGAGGTAAATATGCCATTAATTATAGATTACAATAGATGAGATTCGAACTCTCAACCTTATGAGTGAGTGCTGTATAAAGAGTTCATTTATGATCATCTATGAGGACATAAATATGTTATAAATTACAAGTTACAATAGGTAATATTTGAACAATCAACTTCGTAAGTGAGTGCTTCATGAGAAGCTCATTTGTCATATATGATTACATAGATATTGATCCGAATTATATTTGACTCTCACTGTAATTAAAAGGTTTTGATATACAATTTTTATGATCAAATTTTGATTATAATTTAATTATCCTAATTTATTTATTAAATGGATCAAATAAAGACTTACCTCAATCCATTCGATAATAATCTGATCTGAAATTAATATTAATATTATTCTTAATAAATATGATACTTTTAAAACATTAAAAAAAATATGGCACTACTGTTAGATTTCGAGTTTATTTATTCTAGATGCTAAGAAACATTTTTTTTTCATTGCATTGATTGTTATTCTTTCAAACAATTACATGATAAGTTGTTGCTAGTATTATACTTATCTTTTTAATTTATAAAATCTTGATTTAATATGATTTTTTTTTCATTCAAAGCTTGTTATTTGTAAAACACTAGGATTTTTTTCTTGCCAATCAAGTTGTGCCTATAATAGGCATTTTCATTATTTTTCTTTCATTTTTTCATACGTCTTACCTAGTTTAAATTAATGTAGACCTTTAACATAAATTTTTATCGAAATTATTTGATTTAATTTATTCTCTTTAATGGTGAGAAATTTGGATTTTTTTACACACATATATATAATAGTTGACACTTCTTTTAAAAAATTTACATGAAAGCCTAATTTTGAATGTATCAACACTTTTTTTCTTGAAAAAAATTGAATGATAAATTTGATAGAACTGAACTCGTAAGGATTCGAATTTGGATCGACAATCGCAAAACCCAAATTCAAATTTATAAGATATGATTTAATCTATTTATTAAATAAATTGAATTTAGATATACTATGATTCAATTCGTATTCGATCCGTTAACAACTTTACTTATCGTTTCAATAACTTGTTGTTGGTTGAAAAATAGTTTTGGTTTGGTAGGGAAAGGAAAGAAAGTTCTTCTTGAAGTTATTTTTGTCATGTAAAAATTCAATTAGAGTTATCAAGTGGACTTGTAATTAAATATATATAATTTTACTATCACTTACAATGAAAATCCAAAAAAAAAAAATATTAATAATATCTTTAGATTAATGCTTAAAGAAAAGAGTCAATGATAAAAAATAAAAATAATTTAACCTCTTATTGTTCTATTTGTCTCACATAATTCAAGTCATTAAATTCAAAATAAATGATAAGACTTGCAACGTAACACATAAAAGACTATGAAAGGATCTAAATTTATAGGAATATATTAAGTTTTATTTTTACATATCTAAATTGGCATAACTCATCATTTTCATTCGCGTGTTTGTCAAAATTTATCAATTTGACACCTTTGTTATTTGATTTTTGTCAAAATACTGTAATAAGTAATAAATAATAATTTAATGTCCATAACATGTGACGTGAAAAATAAAAATTGATTGCCATTACACATGTGAAATTAGTGGATCCCATAATTATCGATCAAAATTACAAGTATTATTTAAGATAATTCTCAAATCTTGATAGACTAGTAAAATGATCTGAAACATGATTCGAATTGGTTTTAAAATTAAAGCAGATAAAGAGTTATAGAAAAAGATTAACTTGATCAAAACATGACCAACCCTATCAAACTAGGTCGAAATCCAATCAAAAGTGTTTTTTTTTTTTTTTTAAAAAAAGAACCCGCAAGAGATGTCGATCGAACCTTGATCATGCATGCCACTAGCATTAAAAAAAAATGACACAAAGCATTTATAATATGATTGATGCATAATATATTATACAAAAAAACTTTTATGAAATTAAATCACAAATATCAAAATTGTAGACAAAATCCACGACATGGTGCCAATGTACTACGTACAAAAAATCCTTTGAGTTACAAATACACTCACGAACAAACCTACTATTAATATATTCATATTATATTAGTTAAGTTAGGTTAACCTGTAATCTGGCAATTCAAAATTTTAGCCGGGTCAAAAAGTCTGAACCGCATCTGACAATTATGTAAATTAATGAGTTGATTGTGGAATTATTTTGATTATCAACACTAAATTAAACAACCATTATCTATTAAATGAAGATAACACGTGCTGAAAAATTATTAATATATGAATGAAATTAAGAAATTTTGACAAACACCAGAGTGAAATGATAGGTTAGGCCAAAATTAGTACCCTTTTCTTATTTTGCTGATTAAAAGGAGAGAGTAGCTAGATTTGTCCCATGACAACCATTTCAATTAGATGCATTAGCAGCCTTTTCGAACACATAAATCCTCTGCTAAAAAGAACACATGAATTCTGAAAAAATAAAATAAAAATGCATCTAAAGAAACACTTAAATCTTAAACAACCAAACTTATCATTAAGCGAAACTGATTCAGAAAAATGTCTTTGTGCCCATACAATTTCAACTGTATCAATTGGTCCGGTTTCTTTTACCACAGCCATTCAGGTCCTGATTTAACTATTGGGAAGAACCTCGTGAATAATCCCTATGTCCTCAACTGAGTATATGCTTTTGGTATTTCAATCATCCTTCGTACAATTTTTCAAGACCGGCCAGGCACTCATTTTCGATGTCCCGACGATGCCATCAGAATCCCAACAGCTGCAATGAACATGAACAACATATTTACAAGCAAAATGTATGTTCTTCGTGATGATTTTCGGTACTCTCCAAAAATAAGTATGCCCCAAAATGTGCTCACAAGTGGGAGCGCCTGAAATCAACATCCCTTTCAAATTAATGACTACATAGAATATGATATATCATAAATTCATGATCTGTTTTATCCATGTCAAAATTTTATGCTTATGCTCTTTAAATAATAAGCTTAAAAGACTGACCTGAACAGCGTCTGCTGCTGCATATCCTGCAGCTTGACCTCCCATAAATTGGAGGCCATTCCCAAACCCACAAAGGAGGCCAGCCAAAAATGCCCAGCCTCTACCATTCCAGTCATTAAGATAAGCCTTAAGTGAAGATCTAGGTAGACTCAATACAGGGCGGTAAAGGAAAGTCACATTTAGAATGATGGCAAGTACAAAACAAGAGACTGAAAACCAGAAAAATGCAGTGTAGACAACCAGTTTAGGAACCCCTTTCTTCAAGGCGTGCCACTGATCATTTGTTGCCAAGTTAAAAGCTGGCGAGAATAGAGAGAAGCAAACACCAGCAAAGAAAGTCATAGACAGTCCAATCAAAGTGCTCCGTCCAAACACCTGCAAGGACATTCAAACCACTTGTTTTAGATAAAAGAGCTAATGCCTATTTAGATGCAGCACATTAAGAGAAACGAATGCCAAGTTGAGCAAGAAACCTTGATTGATCTTCTGCTCTCAAGGTCTATGAGGAAATCTGCTGTTCCAGCTTTTGCCTTCTCTGCAGTACTATTTCCATTTTCCAAATCCTTTACTCCTGTTCAGTAATAAAGGAAGGCCAACAGAAAATTACCTTGTCATGCTAATCAAATAATCTAAAAAAAGAAATGATCGAAAGAAGTAGTTCAGCAAGCTTCATACCCTTGTTTTGAAATGCTTCGTTGGATGTGAAAGAACCTTTAGTCCTGATTAAATTAAGCAGTAGCATCAGTAAGAGTGCTGGTTAATGGATCCAACTCTCAGGCTCGAAATTGAAAACGCAAATTAATGAAATTAATTGAAAATGGAATACAGAAAAGGAGGGAAATGAAAATGTAATGGTACACAAAACTACTTTGCTCCTCTGTATATGAAAAAGATAAAAAGACATACTCTGTTCCATTTTTGTTGTCATTTCTTAGACTTTTGAGCTTTACCGTATTATCAGCTGCATTGGATGAATGTACAGCTGACCCAAGACAAACGGCAATTAAGAAGCAACCAACGCCCGGAAAAAGAATCTCTGCCTTATTAATTTTATCATCTAAGAAGTAATTCAAGGTTGTCCCTGACAAAAAAATATATATATTTAAGCAGGAGTGAAAATTGCAGACTTTACAAAGCCGCGAATTTCCAAATATAGAATTCTTTTAGCATAGAGACCTATAACAACAGTTATGCTAGAAGTGATGACTTCTGTCACTGATAAACCAACAAAAGCCCAGGCATACTGTGTGGATAGATTTCCGAGGCTGAGGACAACCCCACCAGCCATTGCAAACATAACAGAAGGCCAATTATCCTGCATCAATCAAACACCATTTGTATGCATATGATTCCATGTCACCGTAGAAATGTGCCAGAATAAATCACCTTTGAAGAACCAAAAGTATGTGACAAATAGCATAAGATTAGTAAGTAAATAATTTAATTAAGTTAAATTACTTTTAACACCCTGTAGAGAATATTTTGTACCTTCTCTTTTTATAAATTACATTTTATATCCTATATATTTGACAATGAGCATTCCGGCATGAAAAAAAAATAATAATATATATATATATATATATATAACTGAACTACTTCTGTCAGCTAAGCATTTTCTATACTACTTCCATTTCACTCTCTCTCTCTCCTGTCTACTCTGTTCTTCATTTCTCTCTCTTCGATAGAAAGCTTAAAAATCGAAGGATTATTCAATTAAATCTCATGAAAAAAGCCTTTTTTTTTCCCTCTATTCTTATTGATTGAAGGTTAGTGTGACTTTCGAAGTTGAATTGAAGACGAATGGAAGTTAAATAAGAGATGTCAAACCTAACTCTAATTTTTTCATTTTTTTAAAAATAAAAAAAATTTTAACGCATAAAATATTTGATTTAGTTACTGGAAGCAGACCTGATCTGCGGGGAAAATGTATAATAGAATAGATAGTGAGAAGAAAGAATATAGTGTTGAATTGTTATTAATGATACTGAATAAGAATGAAACTAGTTCCATTTCAATTTCAATTTCAATTGCCAAAAAAACAAAAAAAAGCCACGATGGTCTTTTTCGTTTGGAAAAAAAAGGTTGTAATTGTGTTTTGGCTATGTCATTGGCCATCGACTCTAGTGATTTTTAATTTATGAAATGTTGTTACTAAGAGTGCTAAAATCACCATATGATTATAAATTAATCCACACTTTGTCAGGAGTGCTTCGTTAATTAAAATTGAAAGGATGAACTAAGTGTATTTAGTGGATTTGATTTTACTTTGCAATTTCTAATCTTCCTATCTTGTGTCCTTGAATAGCACCGATTTTCTTTTAATAAATATTTATAGGTGGCATTCCTCTATTAACAAGTCTATGTGTTCCATGCACAGGATAAGATTCACCGATTATGTTTTTGTCACCACAATCTTATGTTGAATTTAGGGCTAAAGATTTGCATTTACATATAAGATTCTTACCTTTTGTTGTTATTTCTATTTCACAGCTTAATGCTGCATCGAGAGATGCCCAATTAATTTTACCAACCCAAAAACTAACCCCTAACAATCAACAAACCACCTCAAATAGACCAAGCAAATCAAATATCTAACGAGATCTTGTTTAGATACTTACCCCGGCAAATCTTTTTAACCTTAAAGTCTCTTGAGAAATTAGGATGAATTGGAATCTAAACTTTTAACGGACTCCATTATAAAAGTATAGTCTAATCGGACAATCCTAACTACCCAAATACATTTTAGGTGCCTTAAAATCGACAATGTCAATCCAACATAAAATCTGAATTACTCAAGATAAATTCACAAATAAAATAAAAGATGCAAGTCCTAATGGTTCGCCCTTAAGGACATAGATAAAACCACTATAAGGATGATTTAGAAGAACTTACGAATATGTTTGTTCAAGAAAACCTATGAATATAACGAACACCACCACAAGTAACTTGAGCGCAGCTTTGATAAAAAGCCAACTTTAGTCGATCAGTCTAAAAATATATTTCAAAAAAAACCTAACTAATCCAAACAATAGAACATGCAAAAGAAGTAGATAAAATTCTCAATTTCAATAATATTCAACAAAAGACCCTTACAAAATAGCAAAAAAGTTTGCTTAAATACCGGACTCCTAAAGTCGACTAGTGTTGATAAAAATTATCTAAATTGGATTACAAAACTCAACTATTGGCCGGATCCTATTAAAAAAAATAGTAAAGACTCTTTTATGCACTTATAATTTAATTATGACTTATCTTAGAGTATCCATATCAAATTAAGATGCATAAGGCTTAATGGCTCCTAATAAAATAACAATTCAAATATCAAGGTCCAACTCAAATCTAGGCCATATATTTGGCCGCCTATAAATAAACTTAAGGACTCGATTTTAACTAGCCCAATTCCAAACAATTAAAAGACTCAACAAAATATAATTATCCAACTCTTTATTAGGCTTACATAAGATAAGATAAAATGATAGAATAAGATGACATTAACTAAAATTTGACTAAGCTTGAAAATTTAGACTATATAGAATTTTAAAGATACACTCTTGTGTCATGCCCTTCGCATTGAAGAAGAGTTGACCTCAAAGTTTTGGTCTTAGTCTTCTTCTTTAAAGTAAGGTGTAAGATCAACTTTTTAAATGTGGTCGAGACCAAATGGTCTTCGAGTAAATCAATCTGGTAAGTATGCTTTCCCATTATTTTGACAACATGGAATGAACCTTCAACATCTTCAATTTTGACATCTCTTTTCATGTTTAACTTATTCTTCTTTAGGCTCATCCACACTATTTCTCTCTTTATTAGTTTTCTTGGTGCAAAACTTTGTGACTTTAACCTACAATTTCTCCATGTTAGAAATTTTGGCATTGTTGTCACTCTTTCTCTCTTTGATAACTCTAGCAATTATAGCTTGATATCTATCTCCTTTTCTCTCCTATGAGAAACTTTGCTCGCTTTCTTCCTCACACCAATAGTCTCTAATTCACTCCCGAGTGTTTTAGCAACGAATCCATTTTAGGTTTGGTGATCGCAGTTATAGCTTCTTTTTGTTATAGATTAGGATTGTTGGAAACAACCCTTAACTTTTCTTGCCCCTCTATGGTAGCAATTTCTCCACTTATATGCTTACTCGTGGTAGTCCCTAAGCTCTCTCTACTACCCTCAACATATCCTACATTCCCCTCATAACTCATGACAATAACAATATTCCTACAAATCGTATCATCCATAACACCTCTTTCACTTACAACCTTAAGCATTTCACCATACTTCTCCTCATCATGATGTATGATAATAACCTTTCCATTCAATGTGATGTCAACACTATAAGGCTCATCATCTTTATCATTATACTTATCATAAATTGGTGGTGAATTCCAATCAACATAATTCACAATTTCACCACATGTATTATTGTCAAACATATATCCATCATCATTAGTATAGTTACTTTTCCATATAATAAGATTTATATGACTCACCTTATGAACTCTATAGATCATTCATTAGTTCTCATAATTTAGGTGTTAATGTGAACCTCTTGCCTCTAATGTTGTTATATGGGTGTTTTTGTATCAGTCATGGATGACTCTTCTATTAAATTTTCAAGGCCTACCAAAGACTATATGACATAAATCCATAGGTAAAACATAAAAACATATCTTATCTTTATAAGCCAAACCTATGGCAATGTTTACTTCATATCTCTTTGTAGCTAACGACTCTCCTCCCTTTGCGATCCAAGACATTCGATATGATTGAAATGATCCTTAGTAGGTAACCCCATACTTTTAACTAATTTATAGTAATGGTATTTTCACTAGTATCGTTATCAATTAACAACTTGCAAGTCCTTCTTTCTATGGCATAATGTGTTTAGAAGATATTGTTTCTCCTTCATTCACTCTCTAAATTATCAACCTTCCGCTTATTGATCCTAAGCATTGTTAGAACCTCATCTTGATCAGCATATGTCTTTTTTTCATCAATAACAGACCTTGTCTTCCTCTTTGCTCTCATATGCCTTTACTTTTTCCTTCTCCAAACCATTTTCATCTTCGACCTCTTCTATAACATTGATCACCCTTCGATTTGGACACATTGAAGATATGCGACCTAAACTTGAATATTTGAAGCATTGTCTAGGTTTAGATGTAGAAACCTTAGTGTTTTTTTTTTATGGTACCACTAGGCAAACTCTCTCTTCTAATGTGAACCCCTCAGTGGTTAGGCGTGTCACTTTTTTCCAAACCTCTAGCATCAATAACCACCTCTTTACTAATTACTATCACCTTATCTCATCACCTTTTATTGTCTTTCAACCTTGCAACAAGTTTGATGACATCAACAAGGATTTAGTATGATTGTAGTTGAACCACATTAGGGAAGTCGAGCTTCAAATCTCTCAAAAATCTTGTCACATGTAATCCTCGACTTCTACTACATTGCATCTAAGCATGAGTTGCTTATACTCGCAATATAGTCTTCAATGCTAAATGTTCCTTGTTTTAAGTTATAGAAACATAAAAAGGTATCTTCTCTATGAAATTAAGACAAGTATTTACACTTAAATGCCTTCTTTATCTTGTACTACGTTGTAAATGATTCTCACATGCTCTTTTTTTTTTTTTCAAGTTCTCCCACCATGAAGTAACATTTTTCTTTAATTTGATGGTAAAGAGTTTGACCTTTTTATCTTTAGGTACATCGCAAAAGTCAAACACCTTCTCCACCTAGTGTAGCCACTCTATGAATACATCCGAGTTCAACTTGCCCTCAAACTTAAAGAACTCAAACTTTGCTCTATAATCTTAAAATGTCTATGGTTTCCTTCATGCTCTATCAACTTAAGAAGTTACTTCATCTTCTTTACAAGATTTGGCAGGTATGTTATGGAAAGGATTCTCCTCTTATTGAGCTTTAGGAATCCTGCTCCATCCGTACTCATATCCTCTTACGGACCCATGATTTACTTATCAAAACTCCTTGTTGTCTTATTGCAATTCCTCAATAATAGTCATCCTATTTATCATGCTCTTTATGGAGGCATCCTTCTATTCACCCTAGACACAATAAAAAGCAAATCTCAACTCGATATCAAATTGATGCCGTATCGAGAGATATGCAAACTCTATAAAAGCATAAATATAGAAACAAACACAAGCACCCAAATTCCACCCTACACCAAATGTTATCAACTCAAAATCCAGCCCTTAACAATCAACAAACCACCTCAAATAGACCAAGAAAATCAAATATCCCAATAAGATCACATCTAGATACTTTTCCTAACATATCATGTTAACCCTAAGTTTCTCAAGAAATTATGATGAACCCGAATCTACCTTCCACTTTTTTTTTGAATTCTTAAACTTAAACTAAATAGGTTAAAATAAAATGAATTATAAACGTATAGCCCAATTAGATAATCCTAACTAACCAAACACATTTTAGGTGCTTTAAGATCGATAGTGTCAACCTGTGGTTAAATCCGAATTACTCAAGATAAATTCACAAATAAAATAAAGATACAAGTCCAAATGGCTTGCCTTTGAGGATACAAATAACACTACCATAACAATGATTTAGAAGAACTTACAAATACCTTCGATCAAGAAAGCTTGTAGATTCAACAAAGACCACTCGTAAGTAACTTGATTGCAATTTTGATTAAGAACTTAACTTCGTCTATCACTCTAAGGATATGTTTCACAAAAATCTATCTAATCCAAGTAAAGAAACATGCAAAAAACGAGTAGAGAAAATTTTAAATTGATTTCAATAATATTCAGCAAAAGACCTTTACAAAGTAGCATAAAGCTTGCTTAAATACTAGGCTCCTAAAGTCGGTTAGGGTTGATAAAAATTGTCTAAATTGTATTACAAAATTCAACCATTGGTTGATCCTACTAAAAAAAATAGAAAAAGATTCTTTCATGCTCCTATAATTTAATTATGACTTATCTTAGAGTATCCATGTCAAATTAAAATGCATAAGGCTTAATGACTCCTAATAAAATAAGAATACAAACATAAAAATCCAACCTAACTCTAAGCCATATATTTGGCCACCTATAAACAAACATGATCACTAATTTTAATTAGTACAAGTCCAAATAATTGAAATACTCAAAACAAAATATAATTATCCAACTTGTTATGAGGTTTACACAAAGATAAGATAAGATAACATGATTTAAAATTTGGCCAAGCTCGAAAATTTAGATCATGTAGAATTTTGAGGAGACACGTACTCCTGAGTTATTTCTGATTTTTCGTAAGAAAAGGGGAAGAACAACAATGAGGTTGGGATCAGGGCCTCCTGTTATATTTAAGTTTGATTTCTTTTATATAGAAATTTGACTTTTGAAAAGAGTATTAGTGGAGAGAGCAAGGCTATGTAGAATATTAGAGTACTAGTTTGATTTCTTTAATGGGGTATTAGAGGATTAGTGCGGATCATCTATTCTTTTACAGAGCAAGGCAATGTGGTGGATTTTTTTCTGGCACTGGAATGTACTACACCCAAACTCAGGAATCTTAAACAGCGAGTCTGCTGAGCTCTACTCTTTTTAAGGCTATTGTCTTAGCCTAAGGGGTGGTCTTAAGCAGCAAGTCTACCGAGCTCTAGTCTTAAGCAGTGAGTCCTTGTACAAGAGCAAAGCCAACTTTTCACATTTTAGTTTTTAATCACTTAGGAAGACTTGTAGTGTAATAGGTGAAGTTTGCCTGTTTATCAATAAGTTGACGACCACCTTAGGGATGGACATTGAGTTAGTCCACAACAGGATTAATGCTATTTGGAAACCATAAGAAAAGCAGGAGAAAATTCAAATTAAATTAGTTAACCCTTAATTCGTGTCTTGGGAAAGAAAAACAAGATAATAGGTGTCATGGTTTCAGAACCCATGCCTGTTCACGTATGATCATTCAATATAAAAGCATGATTTAGATGATGGAATAAGTTTTTTTCTTCTTAAAATTAAATGAACATATATCAGGCTTTTCTATGTGGATGAAATCAGGCAAAGTTAATGTAGTTGAAATGGCATTTATTTTTAATGAAAACTAATATTGGTGGTATTGTTGAATTATAGTAGTAAACTAGAAATTGGATGAGCGACCTCCAAAAAGTATTTTGTGACAGTCATATCTATATCATTATCCATGCTATGCTGCAGATTATATAAAACTAATAAAATTAATTTAAAAAATTATTGCAATTTGATAGTATACGGTATGTCACGAATATACTAAAATATATTAAATTGAAAGAAACAAAATCATCTAATTTTGTATTTTTAATGAAATTTTTGTATTTTCTTTTTTCTTTTTAATATCTTTCATGTTATTTGTTGTTAAAAAACACGATTTGTTCTTCATTATTTATCAATTATTAAATAAAAATCTAAGATAATATAAATTGAAAATTAAAAATAAAAACATCTTAATATTTGTTTTTATAAGATTGCATCAAATAAAAAAATAAAAATCAATATAAGCACTTGTATAAAAATTAACAAATGATTTTTTATGTTTTTGAAAATATATACGTTGGATATATATATAAAATAATCAATAATATTAGTATAAAAAATGCATCCGAATTATTAGACTCGTTTTTTTTAAATATTAATTTTATTTATTTATTTTTAATTAATTAATTTTAGAACATTTGAAAAAAAATTAAATACAAATTATTAGTGTTATGTGTGCTGATGCACAAATAATATTTAATAAAACCAATGATATTATTTTTTTTATACATCATAAACATATTTAATAGGTCAAAGTGCGCAAGTATAAATCACAAAGCTTTTAAAACAATAATTTGTAAGACATATATTGAAGTTAATTAAATGCAATAAAAATAACTACAAAATTTATTTCAATAAAATTTTATTGTTTAGAAAATAAGAACATAAAACACGTGAATTCTATTATTTAATTAATGATTTAATTGATTTATTTTAAAGAAATTAATATCAAAATATTTGAAAAAGAAGAAGCAAATTATTGATTTTATGCGTGTAGATGCATAGATAATTTTTAATAAAACCAATTATTTTAATTTTTTAATCATCGCAATCATGCTCGGTGGATTAAAGTGTGAAGCATATATTACAAAATATTTTTAAAAAAATTAATTTGTAAAAGATATATTGAAGTTAATGAAGTGCAATAAAAATAACTACAAAATTTATTCCGATAAAATTTTATTGTACAGAGAATAAGGAAATAAAACCCATGAAATTTATAATTTAATTGATGATTTATTTTAAAAAAATAATTTAGAATTTCATACATATAAAAAAATAATCATATTATTAACAAAATAAAAATAAAAAAGAGAAAAAATTGAAAAGAATTTTTATAAACTTTAAATTAAAAATATAATTAGTTAAAAATTATAAACATAAAAAAAGGAAAGAAGAAACAATTTGGAGTCAGCCCCATTGAATGCTTTGATAGGAAAAGAAATGAAATGGCAAGAGGGGCCCGGAAGAGAGAGGGAAAAACAAAACTCATTAAGGACAAATTACTAAAACACCAAAAAAAGATGCAGGAACAGAAAAAAAAAAAAAAAAAAAAAAAAAAAAAGGGAAGAAAAATCAAATGGTGGAGAATAAAAGCAAAGAAAGTGAGGAAAAAGAAAAGGCAAAAGGGCAACAAACTGTGAACAGTTAAATAAATAGTATTTTTAATTAGTGTCACAATAAATAGTATTTCAAACAGTAAACTGTCATTTATAAAAAAAGAAAAAAGAAATAATTGTCTATAGTGATCTGAATCACAATAAAATAAATAGTTTTAAATAGTAAACTATCGTTTATAAAAAAGGAAAAAAGAAACAATTTGGAGACAGCCACATTGAATGCTTTGATAGGAAAAGAAATGAAATGGCAAGAGGGGCCTCCAAGAGGCAGGAAAAAACAAAACTCATTAAGTACAAATTAATAAAACATAAAAAAAAAAATGCAGGAACGAAAAAAAAGAAAGAAAAATCAAACGGTGAAGAACAAAAGCAAAGAAAGTGAGGAAAAAGAAAAAGCAAAAAGGCAACAACCCATGAACAGTTAAAAATAGTATTTTTAATCTGTATCTACAGTGATTTGAGTCACAATAAACTATGTTTCAAACAGTAAATTATCATTTTATTTTAGTTTTTTTTTATAATGGCATTTATTTCTGCAGAAGTTGTACATATCTGATAACTCTATAGATGGATTTCTTTAAGTGAACTGAATTAGTCAAATAAAGTTGTAAAATAATAAAACTTAGCTAATAGTGTAAAGTCGATCCATTTTAAATCATTTTGGTGGCTAGTTTCTTACTCGTCACTGCAAATACTGTTGAAATATGATTTTTAGGCATTAGCAGCTGTTGACGAGACCCTTTGTAGAAACAAGGATTATAATCTAGGTGTGCGCTAAAAAAAAATTCAGATACGTATGTTTGTTTCTCTTTACAGGTAGTCTTATAAAAGTCCAGGCAACAATTGTGCTACAGTGCTGGGTTCTATGAAATACATGCAATTTTTGCAATTGCTTTTGTGCTGCAAGTAGTCAGCTATTTTCCTAGGATGAGAAGTTAGCAAAGAGAACTGGGAAAGCTCTAAAGTCACATCTCAAACAGTTTTTCCTTTTTCAACGCATAAATGCTTTTAAAGGGCATTTTCGTCATTATAAAACTTTAACAATAAATTTGTTATAATTTAAATGTTTTTTTAGTCGCTCAATTATTTCTTCTAACAGACTCAAAATAGAAGGTGATTTATGATTTCTGAAATGATATTTTAATATATAAGATGTAAGACATGATTTATAAAAATAAAAAGTGTAAAGAGTTTTCTTACTAAAACTACAGGGTATTTAAAATAATTTACCCAATTAATTAAACCAATTACAGCACAGACAAAACTTACCTGGGAAAGTTGAGTAATGAAATTCGGCCTCCCGCTGCCAATCTCACCAAACGTCAAAGCTATAATAACGGCAGCCAAGAGATTTGTGATTGAATAATCAAGGTAAGTATGTTGAGGAAGCCTGCCTCTTCTTTCCAGTAAAGTCATAACAGCAGGCCACGTGCCCAAGAAGAAAAGGGAAAATAACATGCATACTATAGCTCCTCCCTTGCTCTCCACCAGATACATTTTTTTGGAGATTATCCTCTCAACCGTTCACAGTGATCACTGATCAAGAAAGCTATGGCATACCGGAAAAGTATCCTGCACAAGAGAACAATTTGCGGTTACTCATTTCCATTATGTGGCCACATGATAACGGAAAGGCAGAATATGTAAGGAATTAGTGCCAAGCGTAATCATGCTAAAGACATATGAAATAGAGTCAAAATTTTGAATAAAAAACCAGAAGGCCAGATTGAAAATCAAGAAAGAACCCACATGCTCCGTAAACATCGTTCACTCACGTATTACAAATTCTACAGTAAGATTAGTCAGCTGTAAAAGAGCCAGAACATAAATTTTCGAAGAACACGAAGGGCGACAAGCTAATAAAAATTAAGCATGTGAAGATACAAACCAAAAATCGATGTGAAGCCGGATGCTGTATCTGGAGGAAAAGCAGCAGGCCTCGCATTAATTGCGGGCTTCAGATTCCTAAATAAAATTGGAATCTTTCATAAATAACGGAAGATTCTTCTCTACTGGTTTAGAATCTTTCAAATAAAACCCTTAGAAATATAGTATATTCTAGCGGGAGACGACTATTTCTAGCAAATGTGGAAAGACGCTGATACAAAAAGCATTAGGTGTCCGTTCGTCTTAAAGGGGAGGTGGGATTGAAAATACTGAAGTTCGATCCAAGGATTCAATAAATTTGCACGTTTGTTGTTCAACGCTGGCGGTCTATGCACGGCATCGTATACCATTTTTTTTTCTTTAATTTCTTGAGTCAACGTGTCGCTGTTCAATTCATATCGACCCTTGAAAAAATTGGGTAAAGTATCTTTGACATGGCTACTATAGTCATGGACGGATTTAGATCATATTCTTTGTACATCATCACCAAATAAATTTAAAATCACTACAAACTTAAATTTTACTTTACTAAAAAAAATAACTATTAGACTAATTATTTTTGAATAAATTTTAAATATATGCATATCATTTAGTTCGTGATAAAAATTATAATAAATTAATTGATTATTATTTTTCTTTTTAGTTGAGATTTTTGAATTTAAAACGAATGATTAGGTTAGTAACATGAGCAGTTATGTTTTTTCAATAACATAAAAAAAATCGAAATTTCTCGTGAACCACTTCTGTTGGAATTAACAGCGGTTGTGATTGGATATTATTTTCATCGACACTTTTCCTTGTATCCCACCAGTAGGACCTCAATGGAGCTAATGAACACGTAAATCATGTTTTAGGTCCAGTAAATCTCGAATCGCTAACAAGCTAGCAAACCATATATGTAATCATGAAAAAAGAAGCATGAACAGAGGAAAAGACGACCCATTCAAGGCATCAGGACACAGAAAGGTATCTAACGGGTTGCATTCATGGAAACAAATCGCGACAACCAGGTCCTGACAGAAGTTTCGTAAAAATATTTAAAAATGTTCACCATAGTTATTCACATTTTAACTTTTCCTTCACCCTCATCTATTATCAGTAACTAATCATATATATATATCTCTTATTACATAGAGATGGAGTTTGAGTTGGCCCATAAAGATATACATGTAGCAACCCTAAAGGTGCATTTGCTCTCCAAGTTGTTTTTTTTAAAATAAATTGATATATCTTCTCATATATATATATATATATAGCCTTCACATACTCCAGTCTTGTTCTGGATTAAGAGAAATCCAACTACTTTTTTTTTGTTTTTCAGCAATTGTAAGTCATCGAAATTCAAATGGCTATATCTCAAGTGCCGTAGATAAGACTCATCAACATGCACACTTTTAAGTGCAACATTCTAAAGTGTTTTTATGTTCAAAGAAAAAATGTTGTTTGAACCTATTTTCACTACTGTTATTCTTTGATTAGCATTCTTATATAAAATTTCACATCTATTATAATCAAAAATCAATTTATAATCTTTTCTCATCATTTGTCCAACACTTAGAAGGTCCTAACTAATGCTAGGAGAGTAAAAGCAATCATGGATGTGTGTTTTATTATCTCATTAGTGTGGATCCTAATGACTCCTCATCTTTCAATCATTTGCCTTCTTGTTATCTTTTAGCTCAAAATGAGAGGAATAATTTTCATTAAGTTTCACAAAAGTTATTTTGTCACTTGTTATGTGGAGACTACAACCACTATCTAAGTATACATCTTTAGTTTGGTGCTCAACCTTCATGTAAGTCGTGGAAATAAAAATACATCTGCTGATGTCAAGTCTTTGTTGTTGTTGAAGTTATGATCTTCTTTTACTCTATTTTGATTATGACCTCCATGTCTTCTGTCATTGGATTTTTTTTCTCTAAAATGAACCACATTTATGCTTTTGTTGCAATCTTGATGTTTTCCTTTTGGACAAATTAGTTTTGATACGAAAAGCTTGCTGTAATGGTTGCTTGCTATACATGCACACTCTTTGTTCGTGTGTCTTAAGAAAGCCTATCAATTCATGAATGAAAAAATTCATACTAAGTATATCAATTTTGAACTCTTTCTCAATCGAGTATATCAATTTTTTTTTGAAATTATCAATAAAGTTTTTTCATCCCATTTTTCATCTAGTGATGATGTACAGAGAAGACTAAATGACTATGTTATCTTTTTTTTTTTTCTCCTCCCAAATTATTATCATTGTTTAATTATTAATTAAAAAAATCGATATACTGAAACAAAAAATTAAAAATAAAAGTGGACTAAACCAAAAGACACCGACTCAAATCCTACGGGGACTAAACTTGGAATCTTGATTCTTAAAGGATTGAAGTCCTGATCCTTGAAGTCTGTCAGAGCCAGCTCGGTTCTTTCCAATTTTGTCGCCGTGGTTTATGTCAGCCCCCTAACCTCGCGGCAAAAGCGGAATCAATCGTGGGACAAAAAGTTTCAAAATTGATCTCTGAACTATTTATTTTCTCAAATCAAGTCCTTGATTTAGTTTTTTTTGTAGTATTTCATCTACAATTAATTAAAAAGAAATAATTTATTTGATAAAAAATAAAAAGGTAACTAGTTACAAAGAAGAAAAAATGCACGACATATATCATTTGATCTGCAATTTCAGAAGAAAATAAAAAGGTAAATAATTACTCATTTCCGATGACCCGACGATGCCATAAGAACCGCAACAGCTACAATGAACATGAACAACATGCTAACAAGAAATACATAAGTTCTTCGCGATGATCTCCGGTACTCTCCGAACAAAAGTATGCCCCAAAAGGTGCTCACAAGCGGAAGTGCCTGAAATCACCACCACAAATCAAATGATTAATCGCTGAGAAAAGTGAGCAAACTTGAGCACATGACATGAAGATCACTTTCTGAGATGAACGTAGATCATATATAGATATGGGTCATCAGTCATTGTTACTACCATGTGTATGCATGGATCAAAACTAACCTGGACTGCATCTGCTGCTGCATACCCTGCAGCTTGGCCTCCCATAAATTGAAGACCGTTCCCAAACCCACACAAGAGACCAGCCAAAAACGCCCAGCCTCTGCCATTCCAATCATTAATATATGCCTTCAATGATGATCTAGGCAAGTTCAGCACAGGGTAATAGAGGAAGGCAACATTCAGAATGATGGCCAGTACATAACAAGAGACTGAGAACCAGAAAAATGCAGTGTAGACAACCAACTTAGGAACCCCTTCCTTCAAGGTGTGCCATTGATCATTTGATGCCAAGTTAAAAGCTGGTGAGAAGAGCGAGAAGCAAACACCAGCAAAGAACGTTATGGCCAGTCCAATTAAAGTACTCTTCCCAAATACCTGCCAGAGAAAGACAAAAATGAACGGATCGTTGTTATTGTTTGGTTTTAAGAAAGAAAAAACATGTAGAAACAATTCACTTGTATGCTGTGTATTTTATATCTGCCATAATTTCTTGTTTCAAAAGTTATCACTACATGGCCATTTTAGTTTGTACGTAGCTTCCACTTTTAATCATCAGTTCACTAGTGTACTGTGTTTGACCAGCTGTTTGAAAATATAGCATTTCCTCAGATTAAGCGAAATGAGTGCAGGAAAGAGGAGGACAAAAAACATAATTCCCCTAGCAAATGCCAGGAATAAGACAGTGAAACCACCAACCTTGATTGCTCTTCTGTTCTCAAGCTCTACAAGGAAGCCTGCTGTCCCAAATTTTGCCTTATCTGTAGTGACCTTACCATTCTCCACGTTCTTTCTTTCTGCAGAACAAAAGAAGGCAATAAATGGACAACTTTGATTAACAAAGTGAACCAAGATAAAATGACGAGTAATCTGAAAAGTAGCATACCCCTTTTTGGAAAAGCTTCTCTGGATGTGGTAGTGTCCATAACCCTGCAAAAGTTTAATTTTAGTACTAACATAAGTGATATCCAAAACTTTTGCTTTCAGATAATGAAATTGTCAGTCAATGAAAACAAAAGGGAAAAATTCTAATTTCTCTGCACTCAGTTCACTGGTTTGGCCAACATTCAAGTGAAATTTTTGCCCCATGAGAAAAAAATTCTTGATCGAAGAAAATTCATCTTAGCACCGTCAGCATTTTCATTGTTTGCAAGCACTAAGATAAGACATGACAAAGATGAAGAATGGATAACTAACTTTAACTCAAAATTTCATAAGAGACATGGACGAAATGGTTGGAAATATAAATGACCATACATCAAATAATTTACTAACATCATAATTGAAACCATATATAGAAGAAGAGTCGTACACTGATCCAAGTTTGTCATCATTTGAGAAACAGCTGAGCTTGGCTCTATTATCAGCTGCATTGGACGAGTGAACAGCTGAAGCAAGGCAGACAGCAATCAAGAAGCAACCCACACCCGGGAAAAGAATCTTGGCATTATTAATTTTGTCATCTAAGAAATAATTCAAGGTTGTGCCTGTTAAAACAAACAAACGCTTACACTTAAAGAATTCAATCTAATAACACGATATTGACTTGCATATATAAAATTCATTCAGCACCCATCAGACAAACCTATAACAACAGTGATGCTAGCAGTGATGACTTCTGTCACTGACAAACCAACAAAAGCCCAGGCATACTGTGTAGATAAATTTCCAAGGCTGAGGACCACCCCACCAGCCATTGCAAACATCACAGAAGGCCAATTTCCCTGTATCAATGAGCCTAGTAGATTTAAATACAAATTTTAAGGGATATTATGCCACTACAAACAACACTCTGCACCTTGTATTCCACAGCAATGGCCTCAGAACAATCAACATTATATATATATCTATATAATGCACAAAATAAGCCTAAGGAAGCTAGCAAACTAATTGGCGCAACATACACTCAACTGAGAAAGTTGGGTTAAGAAATTTGGTGCCTCATGCGTGCTCTTCCCTATCTCACCAAACGTAAAAGCAATGATTACAGCAGCCAGGAGATTCGTGATTGAATAATCAAGGTAAGTATGTTGCGGAAGACGGCCACGTCTTTCCAGGAGAGTCATGACAGCAGGCCATGTGCCCAAGAAGAAGAGGGCAAGTAGCATGCAAGCTATGGCTCCACCTTTGCTCTCCACCAGATACATTTTCAACGTCAACGCACTACCGATAATCCCTTCCGTTGGTAGAATGATCAGTATTCGTGAAAAATCCTTCAAGCAAAGAAACAAATTCAGCCACTCATTCTTTGTGGAGCCTCCTAGGAGGCCAAATTAAGCAAATCTAAAATGATCTAAGGATTTGATTTTTTTAAATAGAAAAACTTCATTAGTTGCCTAGAGATTGTAAAGAGTGCTTATAAAATACATAATCTTAGTTATGTTAACAATCACCACCACAATCAAATGTGAGTTAAATACAAGAGAGTGTAGGAATCTGCAAGCAAAATGACACTTAGCATAAAGAATCAGAAAGAATATACAGAATTAAAGCAAGGCCTGCATATATAAGAATCAAGAAAGTCAACGCACAACAAAAAATGCATACCATATTCAGTTTCTAAAGCATAAACACTGAATAACCCAGTTTGCATTTTAACATCAAAATCACTCACCGTATCTTACTACAATTTAATTAGTTTTTTTTTAGGAAACAAAAAACAAATGAAAACGATAGAGAGAGAAACAGAGAAAGGAAGGATCACCTACCAATAAAAATGAATTATAATATGAAAATGAATGACGCAATTTAAGAGACCCCCAGTCGGCCACCCATCAAAATCAGAACCAGGATGCTTGGAATCTTTCAAATATATTTTGCCAAACTTTTTGGTAGCGCCCCACTCTGTTTAATTATTTTTAATAGTCAAAGATATTCTGTGCAAAAAGGACTGTACTCGGAGTGATTTGGGAAAAGAACTGTTAAGTAAAAGAATAACAATGTAAGAAAGACAGAAGAGAGCTGGTGGGTGAGATTTTAAGGTTTGTTGTCTTCTTCTTTTCCAATGCGGGTGTGATGTCTCAAACACCTGGCTTTATTGCAATGAGAGAGTGCGTTCAATCATAGAAGGTAGTTGCTACCATGGAATCTTGAAGGATTGGTTTCTGTCAGATCCACCTCCCTTATTCCTTCTAACTTTTTACCCGTTGGTTGCGTTGGCGTGGCCAGCTTTACGGTAATCATAATTTCAACTTTTCTGTTTGTCTGTTTATATGTTACTTCGTTTTTCCCTTTTTTGGAAACAATGACTTGTATCAGTCCGCCACTTATATCCTTATGAACAGATCAGGCTTTAACCTCTAAAATTGATAATTTTGCCCTTTTCTTCTTTGGTCTAACAATTTCATCCCAGCAATGTACACAACACAAATTGAATCTATATTAAATGTTCCATTTTTTTTATTCATCGAGATATATGGATCTTTAGGCTACACATTGAAGAGTAATATTCTACTGTTATATAATCATCAAATACATTTAGAGTTAACAGGATTTGAACATTTTTCATTATCGTTAAGCTAAGTTTTGACCAAACAAAATTGTTTCAAATGTAAAACTCTTGTCCCATCATGGAGTGATCTAGTACCTCAAGCAAAATTATTATTTCTCAATTTTGTATATCATCCATTATCTATTCATAACTCTTTTATTTTTCAATTTAATTAACTATTTTTTCACTAAATTTACCTATATTTTATTAAAATAAATTTTTACATCTATAGTCTTAATTGTAACATTTTCTTGATTTAGGAACTCAATTGCATATACCAAAAAAATTTATAAAGACTAAAATTTCATAAAAATAAAATATAAGGACTAAATTGTTGAAAATTTAGGTACCAAAAACTTTACGATAACTTCATCCATGTGTTTTTTTTATCTAGTTTACCAAACACAAGGACAAAAACATGCACTTTTTTCAGTCCGATTCAATCTCATTGACTGTCTAATTTCCTCTGATTCTATTTATCATATTTTATCTAGCAAACTAAAAATATTTTAAAATGATATGAAAGTGCCAGCTAACTACCACACACACCAAATGTATCAAAATTCTACTATTTTGTGCGATTAATTAAATTATTTGTTTTCTTCACGACAATCCATTCCATTCAACATATTATTTCTAAGCTATCAAATTATCTACATTGCAAATTTTTCCGTAAAGAAATTTCTAACCATTTTTTTACTTTAATCCTTTCAACAGTATTTTTTAAAACAATAATGCAACAGATCCCAGTTCGTATTTTTACTCTGAATTAAGAAACCCAAACTCATACTTAGCATATGAAAATGAAAATTTAATTAGAAAAAGGAAGGAAAGACGCCTCATGTGCCTCGAAAATTATAATGACGAAATAGATGTGCCAACATTAATGAGGACCAACCATCCGGTACCACGTCAAAGATAAGGGGTTACGTCTCAAGTCACAAGATCAGTACCCAAGCAGGACTGCGTTCATATAATCTTTCTATCGGCTTGAAATATTGATGGCAAAAAAAATCCCACTTTGAGAACTTATTTGTAAGATAATATTCACTTTAAAGACCAAAATAACTTTTCTAAGAACTTATAGGAACTAAATGAAAGTTTGCGACAAATTATTTTGTACCAGACATGGCTCCGGTACGAGCTTAAAAGTAATAACATGAGGGGAATGGACCAGATATTTCTTTTAATGGGTTGGACATTACATGAGATTTGCTTTAAAAATGTATCTTTTGTGTGAATAAAAATCTTACATTCAAATCACATGACAGATCAAAAAATGAACAGTAAGCGAGAAGAATGTTAAAAAAACCTAAATAATATAAGAGTAACGTCTAAAGTTTAAAATAGGTAATCCATCATAAAGATTAAGCCTTTTAAAACTATCAAAAATACAAAATTTAATCGAAGATGCCATGGGAACCACAACGGCTACAATAATCATGAACAACGTGCTAATAAGCAATGAATAAGTTCTTCGCCTGAACATCATGAATGAAATGCTTCATCAATTGAAGTGATGGGTGATGAAAGGAAGCTATCAAAAATGTATTGAGTCATCAGAGTGCATCAGTGTCCCGCGCATATAGTACAGTACATATTAAAACCAACCCCGACAGCATCCACTGCTGCATATCCTGCAGCAGCTTGAACTCACATAAACTCGAGACCATTCCCAAATCCATACAAAAGACCTGCAAAAAAGGCCAAGGCCCAGTCTCTCTCTGACAGCATCTGCTGCTGCACATCCTGCCAACTTGACGTCCAATAAATTCGAGACCATTCCCAAATCCACACAAAATACCTGCAAAAAGGCCCAGTCTCTGCCATTCCAGTCTTTAGCATAAACCTTCAGTAATGATCTAGGCAAGTTCAGCCAGGGGGCGGCATAGGAAAGTGACGTTCAGAATGATGCCAAGTGCAAAAGAAACGATCGAGAACCAGAAAAATGCAGCGTAGACACCACCCAACTTAGGAACCTCTTTCTTCAAGGTGTGCATTGATCATTTGATGCCAAGTTAAAAGGTGGTGAAAATAGAGAGAAGCAAACACTGGCAAGGAAAGTTTGGCCAGTCCAATTAACGTGCTCTTCCCAAACACTTGCAAGGCAAGCTAAATTGTTATATACAATGGAGACTTTGGCTTGTAGTCATGATTATTGTTTAATTTTAAAACGAAAACAAAAGATGATGAGACACTTCACTAGTTTAGTGTTTACACCAGCTGTGAGATCATATAACGTTTCCCCTAATTAAAAAGGTTTGAGTGCAGGAAAAGGAAGGGCCCAATAGATTTCTCAAGTTTTATACCACGAAAAAGACAGGAAACTTCCAACCTTGATTGCTCTTTTGTTTTCAAGCCCTACAAGGAAGTCTGCAGTTCCAAATTTTGCCTTTTCTGCGGTAACATTTCCACTCTCCAAATCCTTCGTTTCTGTGGGCAATAAAACAGACGATATTTAATAATGAAGTGAGCCTGAATATATATGACAGGAGAACTCCAGCAAGCTACATACCCTGCTTTGGAAAAACTGTATATGTGTTGAGTCTCCATGGCCCTGCCAAAGGTTGATTTTAATGATAAAATCCATGACATATGACTAGATTGCTGACAGAAGCATCAAGCATCGGAATGGTAGAAGTCATCACAGAAAGTAAAACCAATGTAGAAAAAATTTACTTCCTCCGTTGGGCGGGTATCTGGATCACAGAAGCTCAATGAAATACTTCCCACATGAGACCAACTCTTCAGTAAAAAATATTCATCTGCTAGTCATTATCATGGTTCTAAGCACTAAAATAAAATAGCTTTCAACAAAGATGAAGAATGATAATTAAAAGTAACCCAGGCAGGATGACATAAGAAACGCTAATAAACTACCTGAAACAACAAATGATTGCGCATCAAATAATTCCCCAACCATTTAAAGCCCTACATAGAAGAAAGAGACATATTCTGCTCCAGGTTCGTGATCGTTTGGTAAACAGCTGAGGTTGGCCCTATTATCAGCTGCATCGGATGAGTGAACAGCTGAACCAAGACAGGCAGCTATCAATTAAGAAGCAACCGACACCCGGGAAAAGAATCTTGGCATTATTAATTCTGTCATCTAAAGAGTAATTCAAGGTGCTGCCTGTTAATACAAAATTAAAGATAATCATAAATTTCAGTTTGATGACGTGATGTAAACTTACATAGAAAAAAAAAATTACCACAAATTGCGCAGACCGATTATAACAGTTTTGCTACAGGCAATCACTTTTGTCGTCACAGGTAAACCAACAAAGGCGCAAGCATACATAACAGAAGGCCAAATGTCCTGCATCAATCACCATAAAAGAGCCAAATAAAAATAGTCATTAAATCAATAAAAAAAATTGCCATTGCAAACAAGACAATGTATACTGCAAAATGCTACAGCTGTTGCCTTGGAACAATCAAAACTAGTAGAAAATAAGTAACAAAAAACGAAGAATATCGTAGATGGCCGTAATTCATAAAGAACGGCCTAAGGAAGCAAAGAAACCAGTAATTGGTTCAACTTACAGTCAGCTGAAAAATTTGGTTAAAAAATCGGGTGCCTTATGCCGTCATGCGTGCTCTTGCCTATCTCGCCAAATGTTAAAGCAATCGCTGTTGCAGCCAGGAGATTCGTGA